ATGTCTCCATTCTAGTGAGGTCACAGGCCTCTTTGTGGCAGAGAACAGGCTTATACATTCTTGAAGAGTGAGAATCAAAAGGTGTTTGCCACTTCTTAAGGAAGCAGGTTTTTTCCTGTTAAAGTTTTCTCTCCCATCCTTCCACAAATTGTTTGTATAAAATAATTTACTGAGATTACAGAACTGGAAGGGATGTCTAAAATGGCTTCAAGACCCTTTAGTGCTATTATTACCTTTGAGGAGAAATAAGAGCCTTTTGAAGTACGCAGTTATATTTGTCTTTATGGATCGAAAAGTAATGGCTGTGAATGGCCTGGTAGAGAATGCATAAGGATGCTATTACAGCCCATCAATGCCTTTTTACAAAATAAGCTGAAAATCAGCAGATTTGTCATCTATGTCCTAGATAAACAATACCCGGTTGATTAAACATAATGGGACATAGGAAAATTAAGGTGATGGGTTGAACATAAGTTACTAGCTCTCATTTCCCTCCCCATATTATCGAAATCTGTGACAATCTGCTTTTTCAGTTACACCATTAAATAATTAAAGCATTAGGTACTGACAGTTTAGCAGGGTTAAAGGCTGTAATTCTTTGCGAGAAAGCATTCATTCCCTCATGTATCCATGTAGGGTCAAGATAAATCCTACACTGATGAAATCTTGGAGATCTGCTACCTGGCAGTGTAAATAAGAATAGTCTAGAACAGGGCTCCATGTGTACTGTGGCCGCTCAGGAAAATGAAAGAAATAAAAATTGAATGAAATTAAAGAATAAGAATATATTCTTATATATACTCCTAAATACCATTAATGTGTGAGACATAGGGTAGGTCTCTTTGGGGCTTCGCCAGAAAAATAAGGGCTCCGGGGGTCAAAAAGGTTGGGAACCCCTAGTCTAGAAGATGGCCCATGTAGCACCTTTTAATATTCCTATGTACGGTGTCTTGCAGAAGTATTAAATCTCCATGTGATTTGTTCACATGTTGTTGTTACAACCTGGAACTGAATAGGGCAATAGTTTTCAAATGGTGGTGGTGGTGTGTGTGTGAGGAGTTTATTGCATTCTCTTTTTTGCCCGATTTGGGCACAGGCTGGGGACACATGTGAATGGGGGGGGAAACGGATTTTATTGCACCCGAAACAGTTGGCAAGCCATCACTATGCCGTCGCACAACCACCGCCTGTCCCCAAGCTTCACTGAGCTGGCTGATTTTTCAAAGACAGAAACTTTTCAACTGAGCAAAATAGGTTGACTCAGCGCGGTTTGGGGATGGGTGGTGGTCAGCCGATAGCATAGTGACAGCTTGCTGACTGTTTTGAGTGCCATAAAATCCATTTTCTCTCGTTCATGTGTGTCCTCATCCTGTGCCCAGATCAGGCAAAAAGGGGAATGCGATAAACTCTAGAGTTGGCCCTTCTCCCTCCTCCTCCTCCTCCTCTTTTTTTGGTATAGCATTTTACACACATGTTGAGTTAAATATTGAAACTGACATAGCTGGGTTAATTTTGTCAGGAAGAATGCACAAAAAATGTCGGATCCAGATTTGCAAAGCTGATAAGAGACTTACCTAAGAAAACTCACACCTGTAGTTGCTGCCCAAGGTGCTTCCAAGTATTGATATAGGAGATGAATACTTAAAGCACCAGCAAGTGCCAGTTTGGCTTTGTTTAGTTTTGTGCACATTACAAATACTTTCAGTATCTTCTGTAGGTAACTAAACCAGTTTAATCTATTTCAGTTCCAAGTTGTAACAGAACAAAATGTGGAAAGGTCTTGAGGATGAATACTTCTGCAACACAGTGTAATTGCTTTTTGCAGACTGATGAAACTTCTTAGCCCTTTTCCCCACTTACTTTGTTTCACTTGTAGAAAGATCTTGCGGCACCTTTGAGACTGACTGAAATAAATAAGTTGGAAGCATGAGCTTTCCTAGGCTAAAGTCTACTTTCTCAGATGCATTATGCATTTCTTAGACTTTAGTCTAGGAAAGCTCATGCTGCCAACTTCTTTCAGTTAGTCTAAAAGGTGCTACAAGATCTCTCTGCATACTGATTCTATAGACAAACGCTGCTATATCTTTGAATTCTACCTCTGTTTCACTTGAGTAAGGGTTTCATTTTTTTTATTCCAGATCATTGTATTACAGCAAGACATTGTAGTTTTACTGAAATTAGTCCTGCACATAGGACCATGTTTGCCCAAATTTTAAAACAAAAATCACCATACAATTATGTGTATATCAGTCTGAATGAAGGTGTTCTGTGTTGAAACACTTCTTTTCCTGCTCCACTCAACACCAGTAAGGGACGTTGCAGACCGGTCTAAAGGACCAGCCTGGAGGTGGAGTTGTGGCAGGGCAGCCACATGCCAGCCTCCCCAACCCCACCCTGTCCTGATGCCGCACGCCTGTTTGCATAGCGTGCGGCATCAGGACGCCCTCCCGTGCAGCATGTAGACATGCTATGCTGAAAGGGTGCGGAAGAGCTGCGGTGCTGGCTCTTATGATGGCCTTTTGCCACCCCTAAAAGCAGGGGTAGGCAACCTTTCCCCTTTAAGGGTCTTCAGCTCCCATAATCCCAGGAGCTATTGGCCAACATGGGACTGTTGGCCAACATGGCTGAGGCTTCTGGGAGCTGAAGTCCCTCAGCCCTTAAAGGGGAAAGGTTGCCTACCCCTGTCTAAAAGGAGCTACATTTTGCCGTTCTTTTAGGGATGGCAAAAGGAAGGATTAGGACCGCAGCATGGGGTTGCCGCGGCCTCAATCCGCCGCTAGCAGGGGCGGTCCAGAACCGCCCAAAACAGGCTGTCTATAAAGGCCCTTAGTTGGCAATATTTACATGTGTATATCCCATGTTGGTGGAATAAATCCAATCTAGAAATGGATTGATGCCCCACAGTAAAGGCGTCATCTGGTGTGTTTAGTGCACTTTACTGGGTGCAGGCTGTTTACTAGAAGTATTTTGGAGTTCCTTCTTTTCCTTTGTTGTTGCTGTGTTCAAGATGTTTCTGACTTATGGTGACCCTAAGGCAAACCTATCATGAAGTTTTCTTGAGAGGGAGTTTGCCAGTGCCATCCTCTGAGGCTGAGAGAGTGTGACTTGCTCAAGGCCACCCAATGGGTTTACATGGCTGAGCTGGGATTCGAACCCTGTTCTCCAGAGTTGTAGTCCAGTGCTCAAACCACTATGCCATGCTGGCTCTCCTAGTTATTTTCCTAATTATTGGCAAAAACTATCTGATGTTTCCTGATATTTGTGTTTTTTGCAGATGCAACAGTTCTTGTCTAGCTTAAATTCCATGACAGCTAGTATCTGTTTGCAGATGCCCACTGAGCATTTCAGGAGCTGCTTCTCCCACCATGATATCCCATACAACTACACTGCCTCTGTGTGTGTGTGAAAGAGAGCATGATTGCACAAGCATGATAATGTAACCATGTGGATGGAGGCAAGAATTGGTCTTCCCAACTCAAATTGGCAATTTGCTTAGAGAGAGGAGGCCAGCTTGGTAGGAATGACACATGATGAGTTTCATTCATCATCCTACAGCTTCATGGCGAGGCAGCTTAAGGTGAAAGTGGCTTAATTTAGGTTACCATATATACTCGACTATAAGTACACCTCATGTAAAAGTCAAGAGCAGATTTGGGGGCCAAAATTATGGATTTTGATATGACCTGTGGATAAGTTCGAGGGAAAAACTTAGGGATGATGAATGAAACTCATCATGTGTTATTCCTATCAAGCAGAGGTTCTAAAGCAGGGGTAGGCAACCTTTTTGGGCCGGGGGCCGGGTTGCTGTCCCTCAGACAATTGGGGGGCCGAAGCACCAAAAATAAATAAATAAATAAATTAAAATTAAAATTAAAAAATTAATAAAAATTTAAAAAAATATGCATGCAGACTCTCTCAGCCCCAGAAAAGCCATGGCAAAACCCCTGTGGAGATTTTGCCAAGAAAGCCCCAAGAATAAATAATAATAACAATAATCAATATCATTATGGTAGGCGGCGGTGGCAGCGGCGGCAGGACCAGTCTTGGGCCGGTCCAAAGGCCTTGGGGGGCCGCATCCGGCCCCCGGGCCTTAAGTTGCCTACCCCTGTTCTAAAGAATGA